CAAAGCTCTGTGTTGCATGCGGTACTATTTATAATGAGGTAAATTAAATTTCCTTATATTGTTTTAATCTACAAATCATTACTTATGCATTGATCTAATACCAGTTTTAACAAGAAAAAAGATGTTCTCAGGTTTCCATGAACGAGTAATCATTCTACCTATTCCTTGTAAATTCTTATTATGGTTGTTCAATGACGCACAATTGCTTTAGGTGTATTTAAGTATGACAAGAGCTTTTTATCTGGGCTTCTGCCTTGCTCCTCCTTGTCCCTTATATGGCATTTCATTTGTCCTTACATGTCTGTCCTTTGTAATAGTTTTGGACTAAGTTTTTGCCTCATCTGCCCTATTGAGACCCATCTGACACGATTTGTAAGGAAACTGGACACGCTGCCATGAATCTATGATATCAGCATCATGGTGGTGGTTCTTGAAACCTTGCATTATATGGTCAAGTCACAGGATCTCTGTGAGGTGATGCGTTACTGCAATGGATGATTTTGAACACTAAGTTAATCTGGTTTGTTCAAGATGACTCGCATATTAGGTTTCCTGACTGTCCATTGCTCAGTATTATTAGTATTTGTAAGGTTTTGGCCCTTAGATTCCAATTTAGAGGAGTGTTATAGATGGAGACCTTTCAGTGATGTGGTTCAGTTATCACTCCATGGACCTAGCATGAATATCTTCCTGCATGTGTCAATGGAGTTGATGTGTGCTTAACTAAGATCATGCAGAATTTCTCTCTTGATTGCATCCTTGTGCTAGTTATTAATTCTTACCTTTTTGCCATGTTCTCTAACTTTTGGTGAAAGAAGCTTATTGGCTGTTTTTTCAAATTTGGACATTATCTTTTGATTAGAGTTTTGAATGACCTTATTTTGCAGAATATGTTGGGTTCTGGCAGATAGATTTTGTTATATTTGGAAATTGGTTTGCCAGAATCATTCTCCATTCATGGAAGCTACAGTGAAAGGGTAAGTTTTTGAATTTCATGGTCTTCCAATGGATTGAAACTGGTGTCTATCCCTTTGATCGTCGGCGGATAAGAATATTGGATAAGAACGATCTGAACTTCTACGACTCTAGTTCCTTCCTGAGCTAAGGCCTCTGACACTGCTATTGTATATGATGATTTAGTTTCTTTGTTTATGCAGTGCTCACATCCGGGCAATTCATGCTGCAAGGAAAGGCTTTGAAAACACTGTAGAGTGTCGATGATGTTGTCTCTCAGTCTATCATTCCCAAGTTGTTTGGTGACTAAATGGGTTAATTACAATTTATCCCTTTCAACTATGTCTCTTGTTACAATCAGTTCCCTATGGTTTCAAATATTATAATTTGTCCCCTCCAAGTTTCAAATAACAGCAGTTGGAACATGAAAGTTCCTCCATCTTGTATATTATTTTTCATATTTTTTTTCTTGAAATACCAATTCTATCCCAAAAAAATAAAGAAACGGAAAAGCCAAAAAAATAATACGTATGTTCATCCCAACACCGTGTTCGCCTTCACCTTTGACTCCACCTCCACCTCCACCAAAAAACAACACGCGAGCACGCACAGACACACATACTTTTTTTAGAGGTAATGGTGTTTTTTCAACAAAGTAAAAATCGCGTGAATTTTTCATGTTCTAACTTACGTCATTTTTTATGGTCTAAAATTAACNAAATATTATAATTTGTCCCCTCCAAGTTTCAAATAACAGCAGTTGGAACATGAAAGTACGTCCATCTTGTATATTATTTTTCATATTTTTTTTCTTGAAATACCAATTCTATCCCAAAAAAATAAAGAAAGGGAAAAGCCAAAAAAATAATACGTATGTTCATCCCAACCCCATGTTCGCCTTCACCTTTGTCTCCTCCTCCACCTCCACCTCCACCTCCACCAAAAAACAACACGCGAGCACGCACAAACACACATACTTTTTTTAGAGGTAATGGTGTTTTTTCTCAACAAAGTAAAGATCGCGTGAATTTTTCATGTTTTAACTTATGTCATTTTTTATGGTCTAAAATTAATCGTTGGAGTTAATTGCAAACCATTCAAAATTAAAAGAGACTATTTGTTAAACTTAAAACCTGAAGGGATGAATAATAAACTATCCAAAGTTGAAGGGGGTGTTTTATAATATAATGGATTTTTTCTGCTTGGGTGTTTATAGGCAAACTGATGGTTGAAGTAGTAAAACTGAGAATTAGAAAGTCAGAAGTCTGAATTGAGTTTTTAAACATCATATTAGAAAATTCTGAAGGCAGATCTTGACATAACGGTAGAAAAATTCTGAAGTCTAAACTGTGTGACTTTCTTTATTTTCAGGGTAAGACTATGTATATCTAATATTTCTTAAATCTCACAGTCTTGTACACTAAAAATTAGAGGTTGCTTTTAGATCTGTTTGGTTACGNAAGGCAGATCTTGACATAACGGTAGAAAAATTCTGAAGTCTAAACTGTGTGACTTTCGTTATTTGCAGGGTAAGATTATGTATATCTAATATTTCTTAAATCTCACAATAACGAGAGTCTTGTACACTAAAAATTAGAGGTTGCTTTTAGATCTGTTTGGTTACACTTATAAGATTTAACCACAAGCACTAGCCGTCAAGCGGAGTCACCTCTTACCACTCCAAGAGTTGGACAGAATTCAAATCCCACTAGATGATTTGGACTGTAGAGTTTTCTACCATACCCATGTGTTTCAAAATCTTATTTCCGGAGCCCATGCACTTTCAATCTTATTTACTAAACTTTATTACTTTCAGAAAATAACATTTCAAATGATTTATTTTAATAAAAAAAAAACATAATTCAAAATGACATCTTAAGACTACACACACTACTCACCCCACATGAATTTTACTAACATTTTCAAAAATTTCATTTGAATTGACCTTTTTTTTTAAAAAGAATACATCAGTTTGGAAACTTGCATAAATTTTTAAAATACTATTTTTTTGATACCATCGCCTTGTCTCCCACTAGGGAAAATTGGATCAGTGGAAAAGAATTAGTGCTCGGATTTGTGACCACTGGTGTTGTCCTATTCCCATGGACGAAGATGTGACAATGGAAGTTTTAGGGTGATTCAGTAATTGAGTCTATTTTTTAATAACATAAAATACTCAGTTTTAATTCATTTTCCTCTCGAAGGACAAACCATTCTTGTTCTTTTAGGAACATATTCTAACTCAACTCAAGTCATGGTGATCAACCACTAAATTCGAAGGAGCAGTCGACGTAAGTCCCAACACCCTATAACAAAAAAAAAATTGCAACAGTGGAAAAATATCCTGTGGCAGGATTGGAAAGCGAAAACCAACCACGTGGATGGAAGTTCCATTCCGTGGGGAATGGGATGAGCATTTACATTAGAGATTTAAAACTGAATGTGAATTTATTTATTTTTTGGTATATTTTTTTTTAATAATAAATATTATTGGGACCCACTATATGTTTATTTTTAATGCGAGTGATTTATTATTAACGAAAATTGAACGATTGTGAAAAAGAAAGTGGGATTCCACTTTATAAATTGATTTTTCTCCCTCCCACCTATGTTTTATTTACTAATTATTAAAAAAAAGATTAATAATAACAAATACACTAATCAACCGAGAGTTAGATGCCTATCCCATCAAAGGCAGAGAAATTAATCATAATTATGCTGATTAAAACAACTAATTATCTAATCAGACTACAACATTGGACATATGGCTGGTGGCACTCTTAAAAAGAAAAACTTCTAGAACTCCTGGTATTAAAAAACAACGAGGTAATTGGAACCTAATTTATTGGTCCAATTTATTATGTTTTTTGGATTATTTGTGGGACCTATCAAATATTAGAACATAATATTGATCAATGCTTCTATTAAAAGCACACCATTATGTCAACAAATTAAATTAATTTTTTAAATCTAAATAGTATTACGTATTAAAAAAAATAGATATACAAATAGATCACTCTACATATCTATTATAGAGCATTGTCTTTCAATACAACACAGTGATATGTAGTGCATGGTATTGTCTTTCAACACTGCACAACTATATGGAGGAGATCTTATCGTATTTACATACCACACAGATATATGCAAGGAATATTAATGCATCTATATCGAGGTCAAAGTTAAGGACAGTAGCACATAGCTATATGCAAGGGATCTCATTGCATTTACATTGAGATCGAAACTAAGGGGACGGGCTCTAGACNAAGGACAGTAGCACATAGCTATATGCAAGGGATCTCATTGCATTTACATTGAGATCGAAACTAAGGGGACGGGCTCTAGACGTTAAAAAGTATGTTTAACTCTCAACAAACTATAGTAATTATAAAGATTCGAACACAAATATTGAACAAGAAAATCCAAGTTCTTACCCAGAAGATCAATTACTCATTGGTTAATAATTTATCTTTCAATAATGCTATTTCAACTTAATTTACAACAGAATTTGTTGATATAATTCATTACGATTATTGAATTGGTAACAAATCTTAAGAAATATTGGGATATATCAATTTAATAGTTATGAGTAATTAAATCAACAAATTAAATTAATAAATTAGATTTAAACATAATTTATAATTTATACCCTACAAGTATGCATATAATTTCTATTTGATCCCTAAAGTTTCAATTGATACAATTACATCCTTAAAGCTTTAACCGAGTTTCAATCTAGTTCTTTTATTCAAATCTATTAATTTATTTCGATAGAAAAATATCACAAGATTTGCCCATAAAAACATATTTGTTCAACAAAAAATCTCTCTCAAATTCATCGATATTTTTCAATTTGTTTCGCAATATCTCAAATTTATCAGCTATATATTTTTTTATCTTTACAAGAAAAAAATTGAGTAGAGGTGACGAAAGCTTCTTGGTAGTGCCAATAGCTTCATCCTCCTACAATTAACAAACAGGAAATCAAATGTGTTCTTTTTCTTCAGGACTGCCTATTACACGAACAATGACATTGNTCAAATGTGTTCTTTTTCTTCAGGACTGCCTATTACACGAACAATGACATTGCAATTGGCAGATACTTTGTGTTGGTGGATTCTCTCTCTCTCTCTCTCTCTCTCTCTCTCTCTCGTACAAAAAGATGGAAAGAAAAGTGAATGCGAAGAAAAGCATCATTTCACGCCCACTGTCACGTGTCACCATTGCAGCAAAGTCAATGACCGCTGGCGGCGGTGGTCGTAGCACTGTTTGTCAACCAAGGGAATTGCAAACTCGCCGGCGAGTGATCGGGAGAGCAATCTTTGTCGGCCGGGCCGGCGAGTTCCTCCAAACCCACAAAGAAATCATCACTCATGGCCATATCAGAGAAACCCAATAACCCATCATCTTCATCTTCTACCTCCAAGTTGTCTTCTCTCTCTTCTCTGCTCTCCGTCTTTTCCGTCGCCGGAGAGAGACTACCCGCCGGTGAGACTGGAGATGAGAAAGAGGGTTTGATGGTCTCATCGGCGGTGACGGTTTGGGAGCTGGTAGGCTTCTGGCGGCTAACTCCGGCTAGCGAGTTCCGGTGAGTGGGTATGGGGTGGTTATGTTCGCCTGTGTAGGTGACAGTGAACATACCCGGGTCGGATCTGTTTCGCTCCACTTGTTTTCGGGCCATACAACCCTTTGAGGTGCTACATCTGTAATAACCCCTGTTGATCCAGAAAGAAAAGGAACTTGAATTTTCCCGAGAAAGTGAAATTAAAAACTATTAAGGCCAATTAATTTTTAGCATTTTAAAAAGTACTTTTTCCTTGTTAAGAGAGCTGAAATAAATTGCAACTTTGCTTTCAAAAGCAAGCAAAACACTGTAAAAAATTTTAAAACAATGCAATTTGGATTGCAAGAATTAATGTTTAAGCACCTTAAATATACGGCAATTTAGAAGTCATTTTTTGCTGTTTGTTGACACCCAAACTACAATTTCTAAAAATCAACCACTTTTTTTTTTTTAGCAATTTGGAAGTGATTTTTGTTGGTTGTCGAAACCCAATCCATAATATTTCCAAAAATAAGAAAAGTACTTCTAAAAAGCAGCCACCTTAATAATACAGCAATTTGGAAGTCATTTTTGTTGCTTGTTGGAACCCAAACTGAAATTTCGAAAAATAAGAAAATTACTTTTAAAAAGCAACCAAAAATGGTTGAAACATCAAACACTAGAGACCCACCTTGGGTAAGGAGAGCCTTTGATGGGTTTTTGCCCATACTTTCTCCAAGACCATGTATCAGATGATAAACCCTCTGCTGGCACTTCACGAACCCTCTTCAATTGATTCTTCCTGTGAGTAAAACACAAACACATCTGTTAGAAATGGCAGAATTTAATACATGGGTATGTGTTATTTTTCAGTTTTTCACCATAACCAGAGCATAAAACACAAATTAATCACCTTCTTTTTGACCTTGGAGTTTGAGCAGTAGACCCACCAGCTATTGTACTTCTAGAGCCACCAAGAACAGGCTGCTTTGCTTGAAGTAGTTCTTGTTTTTGTTGTTTTTGCTGTTGTGGTTGTGATAGATCTTGTATTCCTCCAAGAACAGAAAAGGGTGATATGGGTATGATTTGTGGAGAAAGAGGTGGTGTTTTGGGAAAGAATGGTTTATATAGATCATGTAACTCCTCAATACTCCCACTTCTTGGTTCAAGCAGATCTGGAAAGCGTGGAAACAGATTTTCTTCTTGTGCTTGAAAGCTGAGCCAAGAATAATCATCTACAGAGCAAGTGGTACTGGTGTTGATGGTAGCGGAGGAAGAGGAGGTGGCTGCGCAGCTTCTGACCACCGCCTGGAGACCCCAATCATCGTGATCCTCCATGGTTTGATTTCTCAGTCGCACAGATAGAACCAGAGTAGAGAGAGAGAGATTAATGGGGACAAAGTAGGACGCTGACTTGTGGAGGAGAGAGAAAAATTGGAGGGTGTAAACTAGTGGGAAGCATTATTATTTATGGAGAGAGAATGGGTGGTTTTTACAAGAAGTCCAAGGAGTGAGAGATGATGGATTGGGTTGGCATTATCAAACGCTTATCTTTTGTTTTTTCTCTCTCTTTTTCCTGTCTTGTTTCTCTCTCCCTCAGACAAAGAAACCCTCTGATTTTGATTTTAGTTTTGGTTTTGAGGTTGACCTATGAATTTGTCAAAGGCGAATACAGCTCAGAAAGCAAAAGTCCACACACGCTCCTTTCTTTTTGGTTTTTTTAAACATACACACACTCTCTCTATCTCTCTGACACATACAATACACATCGTGAGTAGTGAGATAGGTCACCTACCGACAGACAGAAAGAAAAAAGAGGAGTCTAGCAATATGGGCGCGCGTCGCAATGTGTGTAGGAACCCGTGTATTCTCACTAAGAAACCATTTCATAAGAGAGAAATCGAATATCATGAAACTTGAGACCTATAAGCATTCGAATCTCGGTAATTTTGTTAGAGCCGCGATACGAAAATTTATTTTTTATAAATGTTCCACTTTTGACGTGAATTGGATGACTTATTTTTTAGTAGATTGAGAAAAAAATTAATTTAAATGTACGTAAACTGATTTGAATATTTCTAATAATTCAATCAAGACTTAAATGGATCATTTATTTTTTATTTTGATTTATCGACAAGGAGTGTTTAGTCTAACTTATGCGCAGCTCGACTAATCCCCCTTCTCGATCCGATCAAAGACAACTCATTCACGTAAAGATTAAAATATTCATGAGAAATTTACCCTCATGACATAACCTCAAGGAATTGTCAAACTCAGAAAATTTTAAGTTAACAACTCGTATCTATTATTACTTAAACTATCGTTGGGATTAAATGAATCATTTCTTTATTGGTGAAAATTTGTATAAGAGCAATGTTATGTGCACAAAAAATATGTATCAAAACTTACACTAAATTACTTGCAGTCGTTGGATCAATGAATCTCATTATTAATTCAACGGCCATGTTTATTTAGTACAAGTTTTGATACGCAAATTTAGTACCAAAAAAAATTACCCATTGTATAAATAGTGGGCTCGATGGGCACATGATCCTGAGAACCTTTCACTCTTTCACAAGGTATCAGCAATGGAATCCTATTTTTTCCACTAAAATTTTTGCTGCATCCACTAGCTTCGAGCTCTTGTATTCCATGTTCAAATCATATCCAATATATATTGTAATGAACTTATGCCTAAAGGCAATACAATACTAAAAATGAAACATTAATAATATAATATTTATATTTTAAATAATAATTTGTTTTTTATTTTTATTTATTTAATTATATAATTTAAAATTAAATTAAACAAAAAAAAATAAGAGAGAAGTAAGGGGAGAGAAGAGAGAATTATGTCTGAATTAATGGAATTGTCTTTTACTAGGGAGTGTGTTAGTTGAATTATTTGATATTGGGATTTGTGTAAATAAGAAGATGTTTTTAAGTGAAAAAAAAAAATTTAGAATGAATTTTATATTATTAGATCAATGTATTAGAAAATTAGATCAATTATGATCATTGTTGTACTTTTATAAATAGAGAATTTAACTTCATAATTGTAATATTAGATCAACTATACAAAAAATGAATCAATCTTAACCGTTATGTTTTTATAAGTTAAAAATTCAATTTTTCAGAATATTAGAAAGATTTTTTTTTTTCAATTTTCACTTAAAGTGAACAATCATATATAATTGACTATTATTTAGATAAAATTTAAACTAAAGTAAAACAACTTATTATAATAAGAATAGTTTAAATGATAATATATTAAGTTCGAATATTTGCAACTACTTAGAAGAAAGAGATGAGAGATTTATCCCTCATAATGCTCTAATTTTGGTGCGAATAGTCTCTCTTTGACTAGATAATAAAAAAAATGAGTAATATTATATNGATTTATCCCTCATAATGCTCTAATTTTGGTGCGAATAGTCTCTCTTTGACTAGATAATAAAAAAAATGAGTAATATTATATAGACTTAAAAATTAGATTTAAAAAATATATTTGATAATCACAACCATTGAATAGATAGTATGTCTCAATAAATATTGGGATCTACAATAAAATTAATGATTGTGATTATCAAATTTAATTTTTAAATCTATTTTTTAAATTCATGTAGCATTANAATAAATATTGGGATCTACAATAAAATTAATGATTGTGATTATCAAATTTAATTTTTAAATCTATTTTTTAAATTCATGTAGCATTATTAAAAAAAATTAGGTAAATTCACTCAAATATCCTGCACCGTTAAACTAAAAAACAATTGATAAGAAAGCTAAAAGGTAAATTGGAGAGAGAGAACTGCCCATAAAAAAAAAAAAAAAAAAAATTTGAGAGAGAGAATAACGAAGCTAATAATTGCGAGAGTTTATGTTCGTAGTGGTGGGTGGAACGAGGCAAAAAGTTTGCAAGCGTGTGGGGTCCGTCATTTTATGTTCCTGGTAATAAGTCGTGTGAGATAATACGCTCAAAATTCAATGAAAATAAATAATATAATATAATAATATTATTCGTGCATAGTCTAACACTTTTTGTGTGCCACCAATGATGTTAGAACATAATAATTTGACGATATAATAAATTATTTTCAATGAAATAGTAATTGAGAAATATATTTACTAATGAGTCTCATACAACATTAAATAAATTTTATTATTATTTCATTTGTATCAATTTATTATGTTCTCGAATTATGTCTCAATAGAATTTTTTTTTTTTTTTGTGTGCATTTTTGGTGGCCATTCTTTCTTTCCCTCGGCAGATAGGTTGATTCAACAATTCCCTGTGATCCTCTCTTCTTTTTTTTTGCTACTACCTCTCGTTTCTCTCAACTGGATTAGTTACATATCATCTGGAAAGGCAAGAGGATAAATAGTAAAGAAATGGTTTTTTTTTTTTTTGTTTTGTGTTACAAATTGTTCAAATTTATACTGATTACTCCCTTAAATTTTGAGATTAGCTATTGTAGTTTGAATTAATTTAAAGACATGTCTCCTAAGAAACAAGTGTACCCTTAGAAGATATGAAAATTATCGAATCTGAGACTTCTTACTTGTAAGAAGACAAATTTGACCACCCCTAAGGGTCGGCAACATGCGAGTGTGCACGTGACGTTCTTTTTCGGGTAAGTCACGGTGACAATGTGGTATAAGAGTTCACTGGTGTGCAACTCGGATGGGTTTGCGGGTGAAAAGATCAAGAGAAATTTAAATGCTGGTATAGGACTTTTTTTATCCGAAAGTCCAACAAGTGTTATTTTAGGTCTTAAAGGACAATTGAAATCGTAAATACTAATTTATCCTTAATGTCATAATTTTACAGTAACATAAAACAGTCAATAACAGTAACATACGACAATGACATTAAACAATAGCATCGAACAGTGACAGAAATTTTACTATCCAAATCCCAGGCTTTAATTTTGCTTTTTAGAAAATAACTTGGTTAATTATAATCTGTGAATGATTCATTTAGCTATTAATAAATTTTCTTTCTGAAAAGTTTGTATCTGCGCTCTTCACGAATTTTTTTTATTTGCTATTAGTATAACCTTTACATGCATTATACTAGAACCTAAAGGCACTTCATTTTTTCATACAACTGGAGTGTAAATTCCATTTAAATCTCTAGACACGTGTTTATTTTCGAATGATTTTCATTTGAATCGTCACCTCACCGGTTCAAAGCACTCCATTATCTGAATTGGTATGGTATCGTCTTTATCTTTGTCTTAAACTTCGATCTCTGATCTCCAGTCAAACTCCAAATTCTACTGATCACTGGAATCTAAGCGAACAAGGCGAATAGAAACTAAAAACTCGAGTTGAAGACAAATTTGATTCTCAGTTACAGGAGCTAGAATTTGAATTGTCTCGAGAACCCAAAATCCCAAACAAAGTACAACCCAAACTTAAATAAGATTGAAATGTTTAGGCCAGGCCAAACCTCAGTACTAAAAATATGTGAAAATACTAAATATTTCGGGTTTTGGCTTAGGACTAGATCCAAGTTGACGCACTCAGGTCGCACCCATAAGGCTTAGATACGGTCAGGCACTGGTGAAACTTCTTGGTCCCAATCCCTATCTCAAATATTTTCAGAGGCATGAGTCCCCATGAGTAGTGATGATGATGATAAATTATAAAGCAGAAGACTAAATACATGAACATATTCAAATAGGACCCACCAACCACCATCAACCACCACTATAAACAAGTGGTCATACCCCCCTCTCTCTCTCTCTCTCTCTCTCTCTCTCCATACACACAAAAACACACTTTCTTCTTGACAGAGGTGTGAAGCTCATGGTTGTGACATTTTACAGATTGGGTTTGGCTGGTTGACGTGCTTTTTATTGACTGCTCTATCCTTCCTAAATGGCTTGCTATTGAATGACCTAGTTTCAGTAGTTTTGCTGTCCAAACATCTACCAAAGGAACGTCTCCGCCGGCCTAAGAATGAAAAATAAAACAACAATCCAATTTAAATACATGTTTGGCAATGCTTCCCTTTTTCATTGCTAATATTATCTAGGAGCTTGTTAAAAAAACACAATTTTTAGATGAGTTAAATGGACATTGAACTCCAAACCTTACCCAACTTTATGATTATAAAATAGAGTTAATTGCACTGGAGGTCTCTAAAGTATGAAATTTATCTTATTTTGATCTTCAATGTTTCAATTGCATCATTTTGATGCCTGAAGTATTAAATATATTTCTATATGATCCCATAAGCAAATAATATCTAAATTGTTAACGATTTTTTATCATAAATTTATCACATGATACTTAAATATGGATAAAAAAATAATTTAGATAACTCTTAACCAAATTTCTACTTAAATATTGGTTAAATAGTTACCTAAATGCACAGTTTTAATCGTGAGCTATTCAAATT